TTACTGTATCCTAAGCAAAAGCTGGAAGTCACAGTTTTATTTAAACATTCAAATTGTTAAATTTCTCACTTATCCATAGTCACTGTTTTAATGATAGGTTAGTGTAGGGTCTGATGTTTTGGCCCAGATAGTCTACTTCCTAGGATGTGAATTTTCTGGACTGTTTTTCTTCATCTACAAGATAGAATAGTAATATTTAAGCTGGGCTCAGTGGCTCAGCCTGTAATCCTGTGCTTTGGAAGGCTGAGGTGAGTGGATTGCCTGAGCCCGCAGGTTCAAGACCCGCCTGGGAAACTTGGCGAGACCTCATCTCTACAATAAATTAAAAAAAAAAAAAATTAGTCGGGTATGGTAGCGCGCGCCTGTAGTTCCAGCTACGCGGAAGGCTGAGGTGGAAGGATCGAGCCCAGCAGGTCGAGGCTGCGGTGCACTCCAGTCTGGGCGACTGAGTGAGACTCCAACTCAAAAAAAAAAAAAAGAATAGTAATATTTGCTCTAATTCACCTTACACACTGAATATTCTACTGAACCATGGTGACAGCACATTGTAAACCAAGGTGCTATTCAACATAGGAATGTGATTGTTTTCAATAACTTGTGTAAGAGGACAAATGAAGGATCTAAAAGAAGACGATACATCTTTATCATAATCCTGAGAAGATGAATTTGCTTAGCTTGCAAGTGAAAAACTTATTTTTCTAACTACTTTTTCTGCTATTTGATTATTTGAAAATGATAATTCCACCCCTTGCCTCTGGTTTATGCATTTAAATAACATTAGAGAATAATTGTAACATCAGCATTACTTTTTGAGTGTTGATGATTTTGGAGAAGGACTGGATCCAGCTTAGTCTTCCATGGACCCTGCTAACTACGCAGAGTTACCAGCAGAGCACCTTTGTGTCAGTTGCCATCACTGTTCTTGGCCTGCCAATCTCGTGTCTTGTCCTTCCTCTTCCACACACTTGGTGCCAACACAGAGAAGTAGTGTGGTGTACAGGACAGGCCAGGTGGGACTTGAGGTCCTGAGTCCAATACTGTTTCTGCCACTGGCCAGTGCTGTGTTCTTGCATATGTGACATTTGGTTTCATCTTCTGAGAAGAGTGTTCGACCCCAGATGACAAGTACAGTCTGTCCTACTCCTAGAATTGTGTGCATCTGCTTGTGGAAGAATAAGGTACCAGTTTTGAACTTTGACCTTTTGTTCTTCTAGTGTCAGATAGTCAAAGACTGCAGTGAAATGTCAGTGAATGGACATTTGGGTTGTTTCCACCTGTTGGCTTTTATGGATAATGCTATGAACATTTGTGTATAAGTTTATGTGTGAATGTATGTTTTCAGTTGTCACGGGTATCTACCCAAGAGTAGAAGAGCAGGGTCATATGGTAACTCTGTTTTGCTTTTGTTTATTTGTTTTCTTGTCCTATTTTATTGTAAGAGTGTGGAGTACAAGTCAGGATTAGGTACGTAAGTATCCTACGTGTAGAAGTTTGGGCTTCCAACTGGTCCTCACTTCCCCTGGTTTAGGATCGCATACCCTTAGTGATGTGCAACCACCCCACCTCCCCACCCTCTCCTTGCAGTGTCCTGCTACTGCTGATCCCTTCCTTGTGGTACTGTGATAAGTGCTCAGGACTCACTTATGAGTGAGAACATGTTATATTTAGTTCTTTGTTTCTGTGATAGATCACTGAGTATGATGGACTCTAAATTCATCTGTTAGCTTTTTGAGGAACTGTCAAGACTGTTTTTCCACAGCAACTGCACCATCTTACATGCTGGTGGCTACTTTTTCCTGTCAATCTTTTACTTTGTTGTTGGTGGTGGTTGCTTCTTGGAGCACCTGTTTTGTTCTCTTGCAACTTGAGCTTTAGGAAAGATCATCAGGTACTAGAGCCTCACCATCTGGTTGATTAAATATCAATAACTAGAATGCAAACTACCATGTAAAATAAATATAAATTAGTTCCAACAGATTCACATATACTAGAACTGTGTAGGAATTTATTCACATTTATTTTACATGGTAGTTTGCACTTTGGTATTGACTTTTAATGAAATGCAGGCTTGGCATTTGCCATTACAACCCTGGATATGTGATACAGGGTTTCATTTGCCAGTAAATTTGTTGTGTTGGGAATTTTTGTTCTTGTATTTTTCTTCAGTGATATATTATTAATTGTATTTATTTAAACAGAGTAAGAGTCTTATTCTGTTCATTCTGTTGCCCAAGCTGGAGTGTAGTGGTGTGATGTTAGCTCACTGTATTAACTCCAAACTACTTAGCTCAAGCAATTCTTTCACTTCAGCCTCCCAAGTAACAAGGACTACAAGTACATGCCATCGCACCCAGCTATTTTTTTATTTTTCATTTTTTGTAGAGACAAGGGTCTCACTCTGTTACCCAGGTTGGTCTCAGAACTCCTGGCCTCAAGTTATCCTCCTGCCTTGGGCTCCTAAAATGCTGGGATTACAGGTGTGAACCACCATGCCTGACCAGTAATGTTTCTGTTATCTATTGTTGTATAACAAGCCACTCCAAAACATAAAGTCTTAAAACAACAGCATTTATTTTGCTCACGAGTCTACAGTTTAGTTAGGGCTTGGCAGGCACAATCTGCTGCTGCTGTTCTGCAGTATCTGGGACCTCAGCTGGGATGATTGAAATTGCTGAAAGATGAAACAGCTAGGAGCTAGTGGAGTGTCCTCTTTCTTCTCTCCTCATGCAGTCTCAGGGCTTCTCCACTGTGCTCTTTTTACTCTTTAAACACTGTGGTGTCCTCATCATGACAGCCTCAAAGTAACTAGACTTCTTACATAGGACTCAGGGATCTTAGAGCAAGTGGCACGAGACCAAGGTGGAAGCTGTAAGGCTTCTTCCTGATCAGCCATGGAAGGCAAGCACCATCAATTCTGTAGCATTTTACTAGTTATGAGTGAGTCCCAGGGAAGGGTCTGAACATGGGAAGCCGTCTCAGGATACCAAAGTCCATAGCTATAACTTAAGTTTTTCTGCTGAGTTCAGTGCAGTCTACAGTAGATACATGAATAATTACTTCCCCTACAAAGCTGCCTACAATTTACTCTCTATGTATTTATGATGCCAAATGCTTAATTGCTGCATTCTCCCCTAAAATATTTTTTTAGTAAAACTAGAATGTGTCGTATTCTGGAAAATATAGTTATTAGGTCAAAATTCATTGAACAGAGGTAAGTTGTGTCAGTGAAGGGTCCTGTCAATACAGTTTTGAGTGTCATAAAATTATGTACCAAATGACACAACACCAATTATGAGGCCAAAATGCTGGAAAGACAAGTAGAAATGGGAAAAAATTAATAGGCTTAGGGGACTTTAATATGCCTTTCTTGGTCCGTTTCATCCAGGTGAACAAAAATAAATAGGAATGTAAAGGATCTGACTCCATGAAGTTGATCTGGTAGCATAGGTGAAAATTTATATTCTGCAATCAAATATCCAATCAAAGGCAAAACAAATAAGTGATAAACTCATCTTCCATTTTTTATAATTCTTAACAAGCTAAAAATAGAAGAAAGTAATTTTAAACTGATAATTTAAAATTATAGGAAATTTATAGGAAACAGATCAGACATATACTTAACTGTAATTTTTAGAAACATTTCCATTAAAATGAGGAAAAAGAACATGCTGTTGTCCTGTCTCTCTTCTATTTTGTTCTGCTCATTTGATTTAGAAATCTTTGTCACTTTGAATCTTGCTTTTTTATTAACCCTAACTAAGAAAAATCTTACAAACATGTACATAAATGTGCTTGGATCATTAATGTATTCTTACAGGTACATGGGAATGTTGATGGAGCCAGTGGTAGCTATAGCACTGTCAGTTAGGAGCAGTGTGATTATTTGGTCTACATGCTGATTTGCAGGGCCTCAGGCATGAAAAAATGTGATATTTGCTGATCTGTAGTAGGACATAAAATTTAGAAAAAAGTTTTTTTCAGATTCAATTTTTATACCCTCTTTTTTGACCTCATATAATTTCAGTTTTGTATCATGGTTAAAAGTCATTAGCAAGCCGGGCTCGGTGGCTCAGCCTATAATCCCACGCTTTGGGAGGCTGAGGTGAGTGGATTGCTTGAGCCCACGGGTTCGAGACCCATCTGGGCAACTTGGCGAGACCTCATCTCTACAATAAATAAAAAAATTAGCCGGGCGTGGAGGCACGCGCCTGTAGTTCCAGTTACATGGAAGGCTGAGGCAGAAGGATCACCGGAGCCCAGCAGGTCAAGGCTGCGGTGGCCGGGAGCAGCCACTGCACTCCAGTCTGGGCAACAGAGTGAGACTCCAACTCAAAAAAAAAAACAAAAGTCATTAGCAAATATAGGTTGAGTATCCCTTTCTGAAATGCTTGAGACCAGTGTTGTGAACTTTGGATTTTTTCAGATTTAGAAATACTTGCATTATACTTGCCAGTTCAGCACAATAATCCGAAAATTCGAAATTTGAAATGCTCCTTTCTGTGAGCATTTCCTTTATGTGATATGTTGGTGCTCAAAACATTTTGGAATTTGGAGCATTTCAGAATTTGGGTTTTCAGATTAGGATGCTCAACCTGTATTCACAGAATTGAAAGTGAATTTTCACATCTCAGTCCCAGATAAGGTTATCAGCCCCCACTTTATGCTTGGACCCTGACTGACCACAGCTGTTTAATACAGTACTCTGGAGCTTAGTGGCTACAGACACACTCAGGCTCCAGGGCTCTGTTCCACTACCAAGGAGTTTGCCAATCACACTGGACATTATTCACTGTTTAGTGACTCTTGTAGTTGTCAGTGACTTTTTCTGGGCTTTCAGCTCTGATAATACCATTTTTTAAAAATGCCCCCTTCCTTGTCAAATATCTGTGTTTTCATTAGGTCTGCTAGGAGAAAAGCAACAGATACTCTGTTCTGGATAAAATTTTCTGGATTCTGAAGTTTCAATAATGCTGACTCTTTGTTTTATCTTTCGGTTACAGATGTTGCTGCCATAGCGTGTGGTCGTGAATTCTTGGTTAATTCAAGTCGGGTCCTGTTGGATACCATATTGCAGCTTCTGGGAGATTTGAAGCCAGGACAGTGTACTAAACTCAAAGTGTATGGTGGATTATACTAAAAAGTTAATGTCTATTTACATACTAGTTAGAATATGCTGATTGAGCCTCCTTTAAGTAAACACAGTTAATTTTTGGCAGTGGTTCCAAGACACAGAAGAAACAAATTGCCTGGAGAATTTAAAGGGTACACTGTGTCTTAAATAATACTTTAGAAACATAAATTTAAGAAAGGAATGTCTTCACCTTAGAGCAAGCAGTGAATCCCAAATGCTGTCGTGTGACACTTGAGGGTTATGTAAATGATGTCAAAATGAACTTAAATAGTTACTTGTTATAGCAACATCCCACTTTCAGGTACCACTTTTTTTTTTTTTTGAGTTGGAGTCTCACTCTGTCACCCAGACTGGAGTGCAGTGGCCGCTCCCGGCCACCGCAGCCTCAACTTGCGGGGCTCCGGCGATCCTTCCACCTCAGCCTTCTGAGTAGCCGGAATTACAGGCGCGCGCTACCACACCCGGCTGATTTTTTGATTTATTGTAGAGATGAGGTCTCGCTGCCCAGGCTCTTGAACTCGCGGGCTCAGGCAGTCCACTCACCTCAGCCTCCCAAAGGCGTGGGATTACAGGCTGAGCCACCGAGCCCAGCTTTATTATTTCATAGTTTGGTAGGTTAGAAGTCTGAGTAGGCTTGTCTGGGTTCTTTGCATAGGGTCTCACAAGACCAAAATTAAGATATTTTCCAGATGGGGATATTTTCAACGGACTCTGGGGAGAAGCTGCTTCCAGTTGCTTTCAGGTTGCTGGCAGAGACCCGTTTTTTACATTTAAGAACTGAAGTCCCTGTTTCCTTGCTTGCTAGTCAGCTGGGATCAGCTTTTGGGGCTGATTGCCAGTCCTCTCACACAGTCTCCCAATCTTCAAGCCACAATAGCTCACTGAGTCCTTCGTACATTTGGAATTTCTTGGATTTCCTCTTCTGTACTAGCCAGATGAAATTCTCTGTTTTCTTCCTCCCGCTTCTTTAAAATTTACTTAAGGCAAAAACTCTCTGCTTTATCTGGGCTTGTGTGTATAGATTAGGCATGTGTGGATAAACTTTTTTTGATTAGCTCTCTAAGTCAGCTATTAGTAACCTTAATTATATCTGCAAAATTCCATTTGCCAGTTATCATAATCAGGGTGTGATATATTTATAGTCCCAGGGATTAGGGCAGGAAATCTTGAAGGGCCAGTATAGAATTCTGCCTCTTACACCATTCATTCTGAGTAATGTCTTTGATTTCTTGGAACAATGTTGTTTTTTTTTTGTTTGTTTGTTTGTTTGTTTTAAAGAGATGGGATCTACATACTCAGTGATCTGTCACAGAAACAAAGAACAGAGTACCATATATTCTCACTCATAAGTGGACCTTGAACAATTATAATACTATAAGAAAGGAATTGGCAGTAGTGGGAAACTGTCAGGGGAGGGGGTGGATTGGCAGTTGGGGAAACTGCTAAGGGAGGGAGGAGCATACCTCATCAGCAAGGGTACCTGCATAATCAGTGTTTGTATACCTAACCCTGAATTGCACCCCACATCTTTATAATAAAAAATAATAAATAAAAAATAAAAAAGAGATGAGATCTCTGTGTTGCCCAGGCTGGCCTTGAACTTTTTTCTGGGCTCAAACAATTCTCCTTCCTCATCCTCCTTTTTAGCTGGGACTATAAGGTATGTGCTACCATGCCTTTTAAAATAAGAGCTATAAAGTATGTACCAGATGCTTCCAACATCTGTGTCATCCTGGCCTTGGTGTCTCTTGGTGTTGTCTTTTCTCATGTGAGTTGAGATTTTCCTGTTTCTTCATTTGCCAAGTAATTTTGCATTTATCCTGGACATTTTGAATATCATGTTATGGGTCTTGTTTAAATCTTTGTGAAATGTTCATGCTTTTGTTTTCAGGCAATCAACCTCATTGGGTTTAGGTTATGAGTTCCAGACAGTCTTTCTTATATTTGATTTTAACATCAGACCTGCTTTCAAAAAGCCTTTGCAGTGCCATTGAATCTGCCTCTTGTGTGTACACCTAGCAGCTAGTCTGAAACCTGGATGATAGGGATCTTGTATAGTTCTGAGTCTTTCGGATGCTGTTTATGATCAAATGCACACATGTATGGCTTATAGTGAGGCCAGAAGTTTATAAACAACTTTGTGGGATTATTTTCCTGAGCCCTTAACTTGTTTAGTTCCCTAGGGCTCCCTTTTTCAGTCCCCCGCCTGGAATACTGGGGCTTTATATGCCCTGGGACTCTGTCCACATCCTGCCAAGCAACAGAGTTGAGAGGATCACAGTTCTTTCAAGTGTGAGGAAGAGTCCCCTCCCAAGAGTTTGAATTACCTGGGAGCTTCCACCCCACCTTCACCCCACCTCCTCCTGGTTGCTGCCTGAAGATTGCATTCTCACTTCTTGAGCCTGAACTAGAGGCCTTCTGGTGCCCTCCGTGTGGGTCAGTGCTGCTTCTGGGTTTGGGGACTCCCTTGATTCCAGGCCAGGGACACTGGAGGAAAAAGTGGTAAACTCTCTGCTGGTTTGGTGGGTCTTAAAGCTCTGATCTTCCCCCAAGTACCTGCTTCTATTTACTTTTCAGAGTCCTCAAGTAGCTACTCCATGTATTCTGTTTGGAATTTATAGCTGCATTCAAGGAAAGCAAGAGGGCTTAGACCATCTTGTCTAGAACCCAGACTCCCTCAGTTCATACTAGTATTTTGTACTAAAAAATATATGTATATGAGCAATACATATAAGACAATATAACATATATGTATATATAGTTTTGTTTCCAGAATAACTTACAAATAGTCTGTGGATCTGTTTAATTCCTTTCAAGTTCCTTACATCAAAGAAGATGTAACATTTGGATTATCCTTTCCCTGGCTGATGGACATTTAGGTTACGTTTAGATTTTACTTGACAAATGTAATGCTGCAGTGTACATCTTTGGCAAACTCTTTGCTAACCTGTATGAAAATTCCTATAGGAGTTTTCCCAGAGGTAGAATATTTGATAAGTAGAATATGAACATTTTCAGTTTTGTAAAATACTGCCAAATTGGTCATCGAAGTGTCCGTTTCCACCTGCACCGTGTCCGTGTTCTGTGTTTTCTATGTCCTTGTCAGCACTTCATTATTTATTATATTCCTGTAAGGGGTATTTTTATCACCCAACTATTGTCTGTCTGTCTTCCTCCCTCCCTCCCTTCCTTTAGATTTAGATAACTAGTGAGGTTGAGACTCTTTTCACGTGTTTGTACCATTCTGGCTCCTTTGAGTCACCTGTTTGTGTCTTTTGCCTACTTTCTGGTGGGCTGCATTTTTCTGAATGATGTGCTGTAGTTCTGTGTGTGTTCTGGATACTAATCTGTTGCCTCTTTTGCTCCCATGGTCTATATAAGATCTATGTTTATGAGCCAGAGAATCCCTTCCTCCAGCTTCCAAGGTGATTGCTTTGTGTGAGGGTGGTTTGTTCTAGCCTCTCTGGTTCCGATGTCTGAAGCTCTGTGCCTTTGGGTCCTGATACTCTCTTGTCAGTTGCAGCAGGGGAAGGGAAGAATTGCATTTGGAACCATTTGCTTATTTTCTAGGCCGTCTTCCATTTGACCACTGAGCAAACCCATGTACACATCACTTGGATCTCAGCATGTACCAGCCCAAGATGGGTCCTCCCCTGGCATCTCTGGTTGCCTTCTGAAGTGTTACCTCTCTCCTCATCTCCAAGGCATATTCCTTCCACTCTTCACTGTACCTTTCACCCACTTTGCATCCTCTGGTACCAGGACCCTTCTCCTACTAAAATAAGCTTCTTTTCTTCTTCTTGGCTTCCCCTTACCTTGACGGTAACTTGTCTCTCTCTGGGGGACTACACTTTCACTGCCACCTCCATGAACGAAGGTCACTTATTTTAAGCAGTTGGTACCTCAGACCCAGAGATGGGGGTTAGGTTTTTCCTAGCTGCCCTATATATATATATATATATATATAAATTTTAAAAATATATATAAATAAATTTTTTTTTTTTTTGAGTTGGATCCTCACTCTTGTCGTCCAGTCTGGAGTGCAGTGGCACTCTCATGGCCACCACTGCCTCAACCTGCTGGGCTTAGGCAATCCTTCCGCCTCAGCCTTCCAAGTAGCTGGAAATGCAGATGTACACCACCACGCCTGGCTAGTTTTTGTGATTTGTTGTGGAGACAAGGTCTCACCAAGTTGCCCATGCTGATCTCAAACTCTCGGGCTCAGGCAATCATCTTGCCTTGGGCTCCCAAAGTGCTGGGATTACAGGCTGAGCCACGGGGCCTGGTCAGCTGCCCATTTTTAAAAGGCCATTTTTCTTCTATGCTCAGGCAAAAACTTTTCCTCTTTCTCAATTCAAGCAACCAGTTCTCTTCCCACCCACCCTTTCTCATCACTGCCCTTTTTTGACCACTTCTTGTTCACTAAGTACTGGCTTGTTGGCTTCCCTCTCCCCATTTCCTGCTCTCTTGAGTGATATGAGCATAGTTGTGGATGATTCATTCAGCAATCTAATTTCAAGGTCACTGTCTTTCTCATCTCTCGATATGTGATGTGCACTTCACTGTGGACAGTAGTCAGTCACCAGATGAACTGTCCAGCTCTGAGATTATAAACACTGCTGTAGTACTCAGGCCATACCTCCTCTCCTCCCTGGCGCCTTTTTCCACCATCATTCCCTCTAAATATGCTGAGACTCTGCTCCTCAGTCTTTCTTCTGTCCTCTAATCCTAATCATACTATCACCTTCATGGCTTTCCTTTCATCTAGCTCACCTGGATCCCAGTGTGCATCACATTTCCTGATACTTCTAACCCTGGACCAGCTCAGCTGTCTGCCATCTCCATTCCTACAATCAGAGGTGCTCAGTGATGCTTGGGAAGAAGGTTTCTCAAATGCTCAGACTCACGTCCTTTCTCCTGGTCCCAAGCACCACTTGGATCCTCTGTGTCCTTACTCAGTCTCCTCTCTCATTTCCACAGTGGTGAA